TAAGAAACTCAAGTTCTTTGCAACTCTTTATAATTCGCTTTTACAGGTCTTAAATCACATAATCTCAATTGACTACTCGACTTTGAAATAAACAATCTTTGTCGTAATCAATCTGAAAATTTGGTTTTGTTAAGGAATGTCAGTTCTTGTATCGATTTTAGTGGGACTGCTCTGGAACAGAGAATGTTTTATACACTTGATGACGATGTCCCTTTCAGTGTTTAATGTTGGTGAGTAAAATAAAAAAGTAGGTAACTCAATCGACAACATTTATGGAATATCTAAGTTTCCGTCTAAACATTTTAAATACATGTATACGTCTTTTAGTTTTAATCTATGCAATTAAGTTTTAAAAAATTTCACAAAGACCACTACAACATCCACATTACAATATAAGTATTGAAAAATGTTGGTTAAATAAAAAATACCATACATAAAAACCTGCAGGTATTTGATAAAGCCAAATATTTGTTTCTATGTCGTGTACCGGGTAGGTCTCAATGGGCCTCTTCACTGAACTGACATGGCGACTAAGGTATTTCTGATTATAAATATATGCTATAGTATCCCCTAATCAAAGGTACCGTAATGGATTCGTGGTATGTTTCAGAGTTTAATTCAAATTATGATCCTCTAAATGTAGCCAATCTGTTTTGACAATTCAGATTATAAATTACAAATAATGTATCTACTTTTCAACTGTTCTGTGAAATCTAATGTAGATTCTTACATATGTTATGTTTTCCTTTTACATTTTTGATAAATTATCACAATAGTATTGAATGAAAAAAATGTCTAAATACAAATATAAAACTTTAGAGTGAGATCATAGCCACCTTAACCAGCATGATCAGACCATGGGAACGGGGGTTTACGGGGTAAAAATTGGTATGTCCAATGTTTGACTCTAAAAACATAAAGTTTTGCAATCTATTTCCAAACCATTTTGTAGAGCTAAAAGAACAAACTATTTATTATATTGAAGCGTTGTTATGCGCCTAATTCTTACGGAGAAAATTCTACAAAATCGTTAATTTAAAATTAACTAATGGAGAATGATATTTTAATCAAATTTGGAAAATGCATTTATTTCATTCTAAACTATTTAACATTTTACAAAACACTTTTTTACCATCCCTGTCACAGCCAACCTAAGTACTCGTTAAACTAAGGCTATTTAAATAGGGAATAAATATGATATTTTTAATGAGATATTTTAGAGTAAATCCAATCAGGCAAATGGAAGTTCGCTTAGTCTGCAGGTTAGCTGTGGCGGGTTTATCTTTATTTATGATAAATTGACTAAATATTAAAAATAAATAACCCTCAACCTTGATTGAATGGAATTTAGCTTTCGGTGTATTTTGCTTTATGGCTAATTATGAGTTTCATGTTTTTAGTGTACCTTACACAAAGTACAGTTAAAAATACCTATATTGTAAACTTCAATGAACCGTGATGCATATTCACTATTCAGGCCATAAAGAACGTGAAATGGAGGACTAAGAACCTGTGCATGGCTTTGTTTTCACTAGTTGAACTATTTCCCTTTAACAAGGGTCAGCTATATATCTTTAAATTGTTTGGAAAAAAATAATAAAAGAAATAGACTGTGTATTATATCCTAAAAACAATGTGAATGAAATGTGAAAATTAATATCAAAACTAATTGATCCCCTCAAAAATCAAATTCATAATACTTTTAAGAATTAAACGCATAAAACCAAACATTGATATTAGTTTGTAAATGAAAACTAGGAGCCATTTGTTAAATTAATCCTTGCTATTGTTCATATTAAAACCAAACACCACGCTTCAATGGTTATGATTGTTTTGTTTGATCATTGATGCACAAAAACAAGTTCATTGTTATATAATAATCGGAAACGTTAGAATGGATGAATGAGTAAAAATTGGTCTGTTTAAATATAAATTTTTATCACTACACATGAATTAAAATGTATTACGCACAATTTTTACAAGAATCACAAACTCAAATATGTTGTTTTCGAAAAGGTAACAAACCTCAGGTTAATTTACTCCAGTCAGTTCTGTTGCAACAAATTTTTTAGACGTAACATATTTCTTAATTAAATGAGTTATTCTTATGTATAGTGAAAAAATACGTCAAAATACATTCGAAACACAAATTTTCCCTTATATCGTTTTGAAAAAATATGGCAATTACACATAAAATATAGTACTGAGTGATATACAATGATATTATACTGCATTTTTAAGATATTATCTTTGTTTAAACTATTACCTCTAACGTAAAATTGCATTGGTGTGGAATAAAAGGCAAACCGTTGTCGATTTGTTCATAATAATTTATAAAGCCTCTATGTGTTAAAACGAAACAAATTATCTCAAATTAAAGATATTAAGGCAGCCTTGACTTTTTTGAGCAAAATGAACGGAGTTACAATTTACTATATTTTTTAACCAGACCTAATAAATATAATATTTTAATTTCACTTTTTAAGTTTGCAACTATTGATAAACAAATTTGGTTTAATTAAGTTACAGAATACGATTTCAAAAAGGCAAGACTTACTTTTGATACAAGATACAGCTATTTTGTAAACGAGTATTGTTTTTAGTAACATTTACGCCCGGGAGCGTTATTCGATAGTGGAACATGTTAACTGCCAGGATTTTTTAAAGAGGAACATTTGGGTGCAATTTGCCCAGAATGTTTGGATTCTACCAGTATAAAGATGTCTAAGTCAATTGAGGAAGTCGAGTGAATTTTTGACACCGAGTTTTTAACTAATGTAAAGGTAATTTACAATAATAAAATTCCTTCCGAATATTGGTCATGTTTGTCCATATAATGAAGAATAATCTGACTGATTTTTTGATAAAATCTTAATCAAAATCCAAATGTATCGTCCTGCTCTATAAACAATTTTAATTCCTTCTTATAAATATCAATTTTTATATCATTTCAGTAAGTAAAATATAAATGTTCGAATACAAAAACATGCAATGCGAAGGATATAAATAAAGACGAAGAAAATATAGGACGCGAGAATACAAATGTTGTTTAAAGAAAAACCCTGCACAGTGGTACAATAAAAACTTGCCTCGTACGTACATTTTTCATTGCTTTGCCCGAAGCTATTTAAAAAATGTAAAGGTCCTTAGGGAAATTTACTTCGGCTCTTAGATCTGGCAAAGCCTTAAAATCTCAGTTATGTATTTTTGCATTGGCTACAAATCCAGATATGTGCAATGCTATGAAAATATAAACAATTAGAGAGATATGTTTGTATTAATATGTGGGTCCAGTTTGTGAAATGCAAGAAAAGCCCAGCCGTGAGGTTCAAATTCAGACAATAAATATTGAACTTATTAAATTTTAATTTTTTCTTTGATTAAATTATACTGCGAAAAAATTACTAACAATCTATAATATTTGATTGCAAAACCGTTTTTGTATGGCGGGGAGAGAGTTTCTAGTAGATTGCCAGAGCGGAACTTTGATCTCTGAGGTCTCAGGTTTGAGCCGCGCCAATCAAAGTGGCCTATGTGATAATGCCGTGATTCTATTGGTCTATACTAAATCAATCTACAAAACAGTTCCGAAATTGAGCCTAACTAGGGCCATGCTAAAAACTGTTACTTGACGTGTGTAATTATTTTGTAATTGTTTACATATTCACAAAAGATTTCCTACATCATAATCTAACGGTGTACAGTTGATACAACTCTAGCTTAAAAAGTTTGTTGATACACTTTTTTAGCTTGTTTGAGCTACTCAAGCACTTTTGTTGTATTTTAATCTGTTCTTTGGACAATTCAAAATTTATAAAGCTGTAAAATAAAAACTGTTGGCACTTTATGAAAATAAAATACAATTACAAAGGTGTTTTCAGGAGTTTCTTAATTACTTTACCGAGCACCGAAGTTACGGATTGAAACCTCCTTTGAAAATTAGCTTTACGAAATTATCAGGATTGGTTTTAATCAGCTTACAAACGTTTTCAACTTAATTAACTTGATTCAAAACAAACCTTTTTATATATTTTTCCTTATTATGAACGTTAGGCAAAAGACTTCACCGAAGTAAGGCAATTTAGATTTTTAAGTCTTCGGAAATCATTCTAATTACAATGATAAATTATTTTCTCTTTGATTAATATTTGATTTGCATACAAAATAATTCTGTACAAGAATATCAACTTCAAAAATAATAATCATCCACGTTGTGACGTTAAGGTTCACTTTCATCCAAACTATTATTCTGTTTTGTCCTATTTATGAGATTTTGATAGCATTTTAAACGCTAAAATATATGCGAATTAAATCTATGCTTGCAAAACCACATTATGATTGGACTTGAAATGTATTCATATTTCTAGGAATCATATTCAAATCAGATGCCCATTTTTAGCTTTATAAAGGTAAATTGAGACATAATTAATGATAGTTAAAACGAAGAATTTAAAAATACGAGAACCAGCTGAAAATATGATGTTTTAAAGGTACATTCACTTTATAATAGATAAATACTAGTATATAAATAAGTAGCAATATTCAGCCAATAAATCCACTTGGTGGAATACCAAAGAACCCATTTTGACGTTGTTCAGAGCTTTAAAGGAGTTCGGCATTGCTACAAAATGCACAACTCCTAAAAGAATGCGAGGTAGAGATGAATGTGCACGGTCGGGCACTGTTCCAATATTATATTACATTTTCAGAAAAATACTATCGGGGTAGTATCTTTCGAAGCTATGTAAAAACCCCCATGCACTCAGCTCGTATGCTATCCTAGCTCCACAACCTCTCATGAGTCATGACACACTCTCCAATTCATACAAAATCGGTTACAGTTACAGATTTACCAAAACTATACGATAAACTAACCAAAACGGAACACCATATACTAAGCCCGTTAAGCCCGTTGATCCAAATAAACGAACACCAACTATATCCATATATAGTTTGTTGTATTTTGATTCATGTAGTTTTATTATTGGCTCAATTCAGTTATGAGCCAGCGCTCGGAGTGTACGGTTGCCCTGCCGGTCGGTCAGATGCCACTGATAAGGTATTGATAAGCTATTCCTGCTCATTTAATGTTTATGTTTTTGGCTTCCCAAATCCAACTCTTTTAAGTATTGTCTTGTTAAATAAATTCAGTTCTCAGTGCGTCCTTCATTTAAGTGTTTTATATAGTTTTTGTTCGGTGTTGCTAAATAAAATGTCTGAAAAGTGTAAGAGCTGCCAAAAAAACATCACAAATCGGCATCCTAAAGTGCAGTGCAAGGATTGTTTATTATATTTTCATGGATCTTGTGTAAATATATCAAAAGAAGATGCAGAATTCATGCAAAAAGAAAAGCAAATATGGAGATGTGATGGTTGTAGTAAGGAGCGAAGAAAAAGTATGCAGGTCGAATCAAAACTTGAAGAAAATAAGCCAGACATCCAAGATGTTATCAACCTACTCAAGGAACTAAGACAAGAAAATAAAGACCAAATAAAGAACCTGGAAACCGAACTTGGTAAATCGGTGGAAAATTGCCATGAAACCATTGAGGACCTAAGGAAAACAGTTCAAAAACAGACTGAGTCTTTAAATAAATTTGAAAAAATGTTTGATTCTTTGTTTGAAGAAAATAAAAAACTACACCTACGCATAAAGGAACTTGAGCGGCGTGAAGATGAGTCAAACCAGTATTCTCGTATAAATTGTATCGAGATAAATGGAATACCCGAGATTGAGAAAGAAGATGTTTTAGAAGTGGTAAAAAGTGTTGGAAGAAGCTTAGACGTAGCATTAACGGAAGAGTCAGTGGATGCGTGTCACAGACTTGGACCTAAGCACAGAAGTGGAATCCAGCCCCGAGGTATAATAGTTAAGTTTACCAGAAGAATCAAAAAGGAAGAGTTCCTAAAGCAGAGAAGAGTTAAGCGCGATCTCAATACACATGACGTTGGCTATGTTGATCATCCTGCCGAAATTGTCTACATTAATGAAAGTTTGACCAAAGCAAGACGTGAAGTTTACAAGGAAGTCCGAACTCTAAAGAAAACTTATAAATACAGCTACGTATGGGTGAGAGGTGGAACGATCCTCGTACGACCAACGGAAGGTGCTAGAATAATTGCAGTCACTACAATGGAGGACTTGGAGAAGCTACCAAGACATGCCCCTGAACCTGCACCTGCGCCAGCGTCGCCGAATTCATCTGATTCTCAGGATGCGGCCTCCTCCGAACAGTAAACAGTATTATTTTCTTGGTGTTTCTTTTTGTCTTTTGTGTTTTTGGTCTTTTATTCAGAAATGGAAGTGCAATTGTACATTGAGGTTTAATCATTCAAATGAATAGTATTAGTTTTAATAATCTTTGTTCAAATGATATCGTAGTGTTACAGCAAAACATTCGTAGCTTAAGGAAAAATTTTGATTCTTTCGTCTCGGAATTACATTCCATTGATCAAATGCCAGATATTATAATTTTAACAGAGATTTGGATTGATACAAGCGAGGTAAATTTCTACAGCCTACCTAATTATTCAATGTTTGTAAAATGTAACTCTAATCAAAGATCAGGTGGAGTAGTTGTATTTGTGACTGATAAGATAACAGCTATCCAGTTGGACAGCACAAATATGATAACAGCTGATTGTGTGCATTTAAAAATATCCTTAATCGCCAATAATTCCTTTGAAATCTTGGCGATTTATAGATTACATGAATTCGCCGCGGACAATTTCGTTGATGAATTAGATACAATACTAGCATTAATTAAAACCGCTAACTTAATGATAAATGGAGATATTAATATTAACATTATTGATAAATCAATTTTATGTGATAAATACTTAATTAGAATGGCCAGTCATGGTCTAAAGTCACTAATCAATGAGCCCACCAGGGTTACAAAGCTAACAAAAACATGTATTGACCATGTCTTTTTACGAAGTAAACTTAACAGTAATTTCATTTGTGAAGCCCAAGTAATCAAAACATGTATAACCGATCATTGGTCAACTGTAGCTTGTATGAGGTACAATAAACCGGTTCAAGTTAAGGAAAAGAATAAAACCAAACAATTTTCAAAACTGGACATTGCACATTTGAAAACAGTTGTAAACAAAACAGATTGGAGTTCGGTCTTTTCAACAAATTCAGCTTCGACTTCCTTTGATTATTTTTCACATAAACTACAACATTGCATTAATGAGTCCTATAAAATTATAAACATAAAATCAAACTTTAAAAACCCTTGGATGAATGCAACTATAAAACATAATATTAAAATTAAAAACAAACTTTATAGAGATTTCTTGAAAAAACCAAATGACCCAACATTAGAACAGAGATACAAACAATTTAAGAATTTAGTTATAAACCAAATAAGATATGCGAAAAATAAGTACTTTTCAGACCAGTTAGAAAATAACATGAAAAATAGTAAAAACCAATTGAATTTGATAAAAGAGTTAACAGGTGCAAAGCATAAAGGTAGTACCCCAATTGTACTAAAAAATGAAATCGGGCAATTGATTGACAACCCCGATGAGGTTACGAATACCTTAAATAACTTTTTTTGCTCAGTGGCTGATGACTTGAGGAACGAAATCTTGTTCGATAAGGCAAACATCAATAGTGTATTTGACCCTTACAGGAATACCTTTGAAAGGACCTCAACTAAAGATTCAATTTTTCTTTACCCAACGTGCGAGGAGGAAATAATGAAAATTATAAATTCATTAAATGATAACAAAGCACTAGGTTATGACAATTTAACTCCTAATATAATAAAAACTATAGCTAATTCCATTGTACATGTTTTAGCCTACATTTTTAATTTAAGCTTAGCAGCTGGGGAATTTCCAGTAAAATTGAAAAAAGCAGTCGTTACACCGTTATATAAAAAGAATGATAGATATAATCCAAGTAATTATCGACCAATAGCCCTCTTACCAATTTTCTCAAAAATACTCGAAAAAATAGTAAAAGTTAGGTTGGTAAATTTTTTAACTAAGCATCAATTCTTTAGCAAAAAGCAATTTGGATTCCAAAGCAAATTAAACACTTGTTCTGCTCTTATTGAGTATATGTCGGATATTTACACAAATGTTAATAATGGTAAAGTCTGTGGAGGTATTTTCGTAGACCTGATGAAGGCATTCGATATGGTAGACCATGGAATTCTGTTGGAAAGGATGTATCATACTGGAATAAGGGGAGTTGCTCAAAAATGGTTCCGTTCCTACCTATCAGGACGAAGCCAAATCACAAGGGCAAATAATTGTGTTAGTGAGGAAGGTCGGGTAAAACTTGGCATACCACAGGGCTCAGTTTTGTCCGGTCCCTTGTTTCTGATTTTTATCAATGACCTTTGTAACGGCAAATTTAAAGGTAATTTAGTAGCTTTCGCTGACGATACAGCTCTGTCATACGAAGCAAACTCATTATGTGAGTTAAATACTAAAATGCAACATGACGTGAATGCTCTGAGGTGGTGGTTTACATCAAATTTAATGGTCATGAGCCCAAAAACCAAATATATCATATTCAACCTAACAAAACATACACACTTTGCAAAATCCCTGAAATATCACAACGTAACATGCCCTACAAGTTTTAACATTTGTAACTGTCAAGACCTTGAGCAAGTAGGAAGCATAAAGTATTTAGGCTTATACGAGGACAGCCAACTTAATTGGAAAGAACATATTTCATACTTAAAACTAAAATTAGTAAAATACATCCGTATATTCTACATGCTCAGAAGCGTATGTTATATACAGCTTCTTAGATCAATTTATTTCGCATTCATAAATTCAAAAATTGAATATGGCATAGAAATCTGGGGTGGGACATATTTTACCACATTAAAACCAATAATCACACTACAAAAAGCCTTCGTCAGAATAATACTAAACGAAACAAAAACCAAACCTTCTCTACCTCTTTTCCAAAGTTTAAACATTTTGCCCTTTAGAAACTTATACGTTTTTAAGGTTTTAAGAATTTTTTTTAATAGATGTGATACATACAGAATGAACCAGGGCTATATCATTAAGGAACGTGGGTAAAATGTATGTTCCGCGACCCAATTTATCCCACTTCAAAAAATATTTTTTGTACTTAGCACCAACGTTTTATAATCTACTTCCAAACTATATTAAAGAGTGTAAAAACAAGAACCAATTCAATAAAATTATACGTAACTACTTACTTAACCATAATGACATTAATCAATTTTTTACTACTCTAATATAAAGACATAGTGTTTTCCTTTGATAGTATAGTCTTAGTTATAGTTTGTTAAATAATGCCTAATACTTCAATAAGACGTAAGAATTAAGGAAGTTAATATTGTTTCATGTGAAGAAGCCACGTTTATGTTATTTTTAAATATTGTGTAGTATAACTGTGGTACTGATCCGGCCAGGCACTCTCTACCCTACTACTGAGTTTGTGTAAGATTCAAATATAGATCCCGCACAGGTTTATAACCTCAGGGCTTTATTGCTCTATGATTCTCTTTATTATTATATCCCATATTTTTAACAGTTAAGGTTTAAAAAAATTTTGTGTAAGTTCATAGGCATATTTGTATAAATAGTATAACCAGAATTGTGTTCAATACTATTGTGATTGTTTACAATAACTGTATATTATGTACATTGAGCAATAAAGAATTTTTCTATTCTATTCTATTCTATAATCATTTCACAAATGGAGGTACCAGATTGAATGAGGGTAATACGGTTATAGTTTTTATCCTATGATATAATACATACTCGTTTGAGTCTTTTGACATATGTCTCCTTATAATCCACTTGGCCCAGATACGTCAGATGCCATTTCTGTTTCATATTATGCTATTTTATTAAATCTGCGCACTCTAGACATGTCTGTAATATGTCAAGTTTTCTAGAAATAGTAGATTTTGTTTGTTGAATAATACATTTAATTTGAACCAAGATGACTTAAATTCACTCTGGAATTTATCCAATGCCATAACTGAACATATTTTTTGTTTTTTGTTCCAGGAGATTAAGTAAACTGTTATAGGTTGCTTGTTTATGAATATATTTCAATCAAATTTGGCAAATGTATTTATTGTATACTTATTTAATAATATTTTTATAAAAACTCACTTTATTACCCTCCCTGAAGCAGCAAACCTGGATACTTCTTAAACCTAATTTTATTTAAATGGATTTAAGTTAAAATCAAATCAGGTACGGAAATTGGCTTAGTCCGCAGTTGGGGGTATTTTTGTTTTTACAGATGTAAAATATGATGTACATATGCTTTTTAACCCCGAAAGACATGTAAGTGTTTCAAGGAATATTAAAATATGAACTCGGTTTTTTGAAAGGTACAGTAGCCACTTAAGCTGAGAGCGTCATATTTCCCTGTCCCATAAATACATTATGCCTTCAAAGGAACTATTTTACTTCTTAGTAAAACAGACAAGGCAACAAAGGTGTGTCGTTTATCACGTTACTGAAAGATATAAAACCACAAAAATGGTTTGTAGTCACGCATTTAATTTTTTTAACGAGAAATTGTTTTAGCCAATTATCAACTAAAATTAAGTATTCAATGACCAGTAATGGTTCTACTGTTGCACAATGGAAAATATTATATTGAAACTGATTTTAACACAGAAGTGTCATACTAGTTTTCCGTTATTTTTAAAATATCTGTTTACTGATTTTAAATTTGAACACCGTAGAACGATTAAGACACTTAAGTCAAAATTAAGAAAACAAGTGCTGATGCGATTCCATTGAGCCACTTTAAAATACTAGTGATGAGTAGTTAAGGAATAATGCTGGTTTACGACTCCCCAAAACCATTTGGGATTTTTAGCTATAATTTTTAAAATTAGTCTAGTGCTCAAAATGAAACCAAGATTTGAATTTTTGCACTATGGATCCATCCGTCATTCTATATAAATTTATAATCTAGAATGTATATGACCTTGACAGTACATAATTTGTTATATATTCGTTACAATATTTTTAACAATACCTCAATAATACTCTTCAATCCATCAATCTCACTGCAGTGTCCAATCATCACTTTATGATTGACGACATTTCCGTGATTTACTCAGAAATGACAGGTTGTCAAGAACAGCACTTCTTTTGAAACTTGTCAGATTTGTTAAGACCCTTTACATTTTGGTTTACAAATATACCAAAAGCGTTTTTTTTATATTTTCAATATTTTGTAAATATTCTTTTCTTAAA